GGATCAAGTGATGTGGGGCAACCATTCTAGACAATATACAGATAAAAGGGGGTATTCTTTTTTTTTTTAACCTAACATTGCACTCTTCCAATAACTAAATGTTTGTGCAGGTACCACAGTAGAATGCTAAGTGAAATAAGTCAAGCTGAGAAAGACAATTATCATATGGTTTCACTCATACATGGAACATAAGGAATAGTGCAGAGGACCACAGGGGAAGGGAGGGAAAACTGAATGGGAAGGAATCAGAGAGAGAGAGTAACCATGAGAGACTCTGGACTCTGGGAAACAAAGGGGAGGGAGTGGGGAGATGGGATAGCTGGGTGATTGGTATTAAAGAGGGCACGTGTTGGGATGAGCACTGAGTGTTATACACAACTAATGAATCGTTGAACACTACATCAAAAACTAATGATGTACTATATGCTGGCTAACTGAACATAATAAAAAAAAAGAATTAAGCAGTCTACTTTCTTTTTTCATTTTTTAAAACTTCTAAGTGCGTTTTTAGTTGTTTCTACTATAAATTACATCATATTATAGCTTTGTAGATAGCTTCCTTTCCCTCCTGCATTTTGGATTATTACCTTAAGTTAGATTTCCAATAGGTGGGCCCAAGGTTCTCCCTCACACTTTATATTTATATTTATATTTATATTTATATTATATATATAGACACTCCCAGGTTACTTTTAGCTGAGCTCCTGTGCTCCTTTGCACAGAGACTGTATTGCAGAGTGGAGGCAGCAAACAAAGACTTCCCTGGTTGCCTTGGTGGTTTTCCTGCCGCCTTCTGTTCTCAGCATATTCTCTGACTTTCTTAACACATACTTGTGCAAATTTTCTCCCAGGTTACCATACCCAAGGAATGGTGGTAGCCCCTGTTTGCTCCCACTCCACATTTGGGGTGAAAATATGGGGAGAGGAGTAAACTCAAGAGTGAAGATTAGAGGACCACCTGTGATGTGCTCCACCTTCATGCTGATACCTCACTTTCTTCCTCAGAAGCTTCCAGAAGGAAACCACAATCCTCATTCTACATATAAAGAAGCTAAGAGTGGGAGACCAATGGGCTGTGAGTCTGATTGCATTCTAGAATTAAACAGCAGTGATACTGACAATTTTCATCACTCCCATACTTTCTTTCTCCCAGATTCCCTTCCTTCTAGGGGGCTCTCTTCTGACATCCCAAAGAAGGCATCCATTCATAACAGGCTTCCCTGCCCCCTAATCTGGCAAGACCACTTGCACCAGTTAGTTTTTATCCACAACAATGTTGCTTAACAAACAATGAAACAAGCCTCAGCTGTATTTAATGGCAAGTGTTTATTGCTCATACAATCATGGTGGGCAGCTAGGCAGCCCTGTTGATCTTGGATGGGCTCACCTGCACGTTGAGCTCATGGAGTTGGCTGGCAGATCTAGGTTGGTCTTGGCTAGGATGAGTGAAGTAACTTCCTTCTCCTCCAGTTGACTATCTGGGGCATATTTTCATGGTATTAGAGAGTTCGAAGAATGAGCATGTGCCTCAGGTCTCTACTTGCTCCATGAAACGCTGGGACCATGAATGCAAGGAATCTATTGCATCCTTGTTTGGAGGTAGGGAGTTTCTGGAACTTTTATAACGACTTGTTTGCAGGTAGGGAGTTTCTGGAACTTTTATAACTCCCTCCCAACATCTGGGGACCTGTTCACTCCCTTGGGCCCTGGGTAATTCATTTAAGGTGAGCCTCCAAAATCTTTCTTTTTGGAAGAGTTAACCTTCAGAACTATTAAGGCTTGGTTTTGACCCAACACACACTAGAACGCAAGGGCTCTAATATTTGCCAATTTTAAGATAATGAAGTTAAATTTTGGACTGTGTAATCCCTTGGACCTGCATTTGAAGTCTAGCCTCCAGTTAACTACTTGGGCAACCACTGTCACATCACCTCCCTTCTCTGAGCTTCAGTTCCTCAAACAAAAGTGATAATAACTCTCATGCATAATCTTCATGAGACTTAATGAGGATGAAGTATAACAAAGGAACTGGCATGTAAAGACACCCGATAACTGGGAGCTATCAAATCAGTCTCTACTCTTATAGTTGTGCCAGCAACCCAACTGAAACTAGCTGATGCCTAAAAGGGTGAAGCTGGAAGGGGGGGCGGACACTAATGAATCACACAACTGTCATTCCAAGAACACAAACAATTTCCTCAGAATTATATATTTTCTCATTTCTTGGCCATAATTTTCCCTGCTTGGTTTCATCCTTCAAATAGTTTTCTGCCACATGGGGGCACAAGATGTGAGATTCTCTAAATCAGTCATGACCATGGCTGAGAAAATGAAACATTCCCTTGACCAGACAAGAGTCAAGGAGGCTTCCTTTCTTTTAATGGTGTGCGTGCGTGCGTGTGTGTATATGTATGTGACTGTGTGTGTGTGTGTGTGTGTGTGTGTGTGTGTCAAAGTGATTGGCAGCCCAACGGGTAATGCATGGAATGGGAGCTAGATGGATGTCCCTTTATCTAAAGATTCATCTAAAGAAAAGATGTTGACAGACATAAGCAACATGGCCATTATATTATTACTCTGCTCACCATAGGATGAAAAAGGGAACATTTCATAATGATGGTATTTTCAATGTATAGCATGTAAGTAAAGAAATCACTTACAGAAATGATCACTGCTACCACTATAATTCAAATATATATGTATATACACACACATACCCACCACACTTGGGCATGCCATATGTCATGAAGGAGAGCCAGTGCAACTGGCTCTACAATATAATGATAAAACTACAACTACAATATAATGATAAAATGGTCATCTTATTTTAATATAGTTTTCAGTTAAAAAATTTAATAGACTTTATTTCTTAGGGAAGTTGTAGATATGCAGACAGTTTAGGTAGAAAATACAGAATGTCCCTTATACACCCTGTATTTGTCTGTTTAAGCCACCATTAAAAAAAAACAAACCACAAGCTGGGTGCCTTAGATGATAGAAATGTATTTGCTCACAGTTCTAGAAGGTAGAAGTTCAAGCTCAAGGTGTTGACAAATTGGTTTCCTGGTAAGAGTCTTTTCCTGGTTTATAGATGGCCACCTTCTTACTGTGTCCTCACATGGTCTTTTCTCTGTACGCATGCAGTCAGAGGGTTCTGGTGTCTCTTCCTCTTTTTTTTTTTTTTTAACATTTTATTTATTTATTTAACAGAAAGAGAGCATAAGCGAGGATAGGGGAATGGCAGAGGGAGAGGGAAAAGCAGACTCCCTGTTGAGAAGGAAGCACAATGTGGGGCTCCATCCCAGGACCCCGATATCATAACCTGAGCCAAAGGCAGACGCTTAACCGACTGAGCCACCCAGGCATCCCATCTCTTCCTCTTCTTAAAGGAACACCAGTCCTATCAGATCCAGGCCCCATCCTTATGACCTGATTGGATTTCAGTTACATCTCTAAAGGCAAACACCATCACACTGGGTGTGAAGGGCTTCAGCATATGAATTTGGTGGGGAGACAATTCAGTCCATAATACCAACTCCCCCTCCTACACAGTTTCTCCTATTATTAACATTTTGCATTAGGGAGGCACATTTGTTACAATCGATGAGTCAACATTGATAGATTATCACTAACTGAAGCCCATAGTTTATATTAGGGTTCATTCTGCGTTGTACGTTCTCTGGTTTTTGACAAATGCAATAAGGATGTGTGTCCTCCACTATGTTTCATACAAAATAGTTTCACCACCCTAAAAATGTCCTGTATTCCACCTTCTCATTCCCCTCCCCCTGAACCCCTGGAAACCACTTACCTCTTTTTACTGTCTCTATAGTTTTGCCTGTTCCAGAATGTTATATAGCTGGAATCAGATAAGATGTAGCCTCTTCAGATGGGCTTCTTTTACTTAGCAATATAGGCATAAAGTATCCTTGTGTGTGCGGGCGGGGAGGGGGAGAGCGGCTTGATAGCTCTTTTTTTTTTTTAAGATTATTTATTTATTTATTTATTTGACAGACAGAGATCACAAGTAGGCAGAGAGGCAGGCAGAGAGAGAGGAAGGGAAGCAGGCTCACTGCTGAGCAGAGAGCCTGATGCAGGGCTCCATTCCAGGACCCTGGATCATGACCTGAGCCGAAGGCAGAGGCTTTAACCCACTGAGACACCCAGGCACCCTTGATAGCTCTTTTTTCAAATCACTGAATAATATTCCATTGTGTTCATTACCACAGCTCATTTATCCATTCCTTGACCGAAGGTTATATCACTTGCTTCCAATTTGGGGCAATTATGAATAAAGCTGTTATAAATATTCATGCTCAGGGTTTTGTGAGTATATGTTTTCAACTCATCTGAGTAAATACCCAGGAGCATGATTACTGGATTATATGGTAAGTCTATTATAGCTTTATAAAAAAATTACCAATCTTCAGGGCACCTAGGTGGTTCAGTGGGTTAAGCCTCTGCCTTAGGCTCGGGTCATGATCCCAGGGTCCTGGGATCGAGCCCCCATCGGGCTCTCTGCTCAGCAGGGAGCCTGCTTCCCTTCCTCTCTCTCTCTGCCTGCCTCTCTGCCTACTTGTGATCTCCGTCAGTTAAATAAATAACTAAAATCTTTAGGAAAAAAAAAAAAAAACCTTAAAAAAATTACCAATCTTCTTTCCAAAAGAAAGTTGCCGAACTGTCTTCCAAAGTAGCGGTACAATTTTGCATTCCCACCAGCAATAAATGAGAGTTCCTCCTCCTGCTCTGCATCCTTTCCAGCATTTGGTGTTGTCAGTGTTTTGGACTTTAGCCATTCTAATAATCAGGCAGTGGTATCTCTCTGCTGTTTTAATTTACTATTCCCTAATGACAATGATAAGGTGGTGAGCATATTTTCATATGCTCATTTGCCATCTGTATGTGTTCTTGGGTGATAACAATTTTTAAAGACTTTTTAAATAACCGTGGGATGGTAGGTCCACCCCTATTCTGCCACTCACCACAAACAGATAAGATACCACCCTCGAGTGAGGAGCTCTTGCTCACTGGGCTGCAGACACAGAGGGGCAGATTCTGAGAAGAATTAACAACACTGAAATCTCCAGAACAAAGGCTCTAATTAAGGTACGTATTCATTAGCATCCTTGGGGAAGAAGGATAGAAGTAGGCAGGAACACTTTTATGTCCTTGGGAAAAAGGCAAAGGGAAGGCAAATATTTCAGAAGCCTAGCAGAAGAGGTGAATAAATATAGATATTTTTAAATCTTTGCTTGTCCTGAGTGCACAAACCTGCAGATGTCTTAGTGGCCAGTCCTGGCTCTGACTGAGGAAAGCAAGCCATGCCATTTTCTCTGCAGGACGCTAGGAGGGGGTGAAAGCTCTTACAAGAGTGCAAAGTTTGTTAAGAAAATACCTCTTATCACCAGGCATCTGAGAGGAGTCTGTCCTTGGGCTGGTTACAAGGCTTCTATCAGACAAACCGTTACACAGCTACAAGGTAGTCGAGAACTTGAAAGTCAGGTGGCTCAACTTCTAAAAGATTGGTGTGTTTTTGCTCTCCCCACAAAAACAGCTAAATATGGAAGAGGAAAAAGGGTTCAGAGCAGAAGTAGTTTCGAGTCCTGGCTCTATGGCCTCCCTCTCTGTAACTTTAGTCAATGGACTTACAGTCTCTGGGATTCAGATTCAACCCTAATTCCAGAAACAGAAAGGAGGTATGAGGACCTGCTTCCCAGGGATTCAAGAGAAATGAATGAAAGAATGCATCTAAAACACCTTGTCCGCTGTAATAAATGACGGACATCCTTAATACTTCACATAGACTTTACTGATGAGAGAGCATGGAGGAAGAATGGGTTAGGGGTGAGCAGGAAGGATCTGGGGAAGGAATGAGTTAAGGACAACCCCTTATTCTAGGATATTAGGAGAGCAGAACAGAAGGAAGGCAAACAGAAAATTATTTTTTTTAAACAACTGTCAGACAAGTAGGAAGGAAGATGTAGGAGGAGAGACTATTGTTTTGAGAGATACTAGCCACAAAAAAAAAAAAAACAAAACCCACGTCCATACTTCAGAAACTATGTTTTTAAACCCATTTTGGGTACAAACTTAAATAAAATTAATAACTTTAAAAATGGCTAACTTGCTAGGCATTTCCAATTAGACAAAGAAAGGTGGCCTAGTGGACAAGGGCGTCTGAATGTTCAACAACCAAACACATTGGAAAAATAGGGTCCAAATTGGAAGTGTCTTGAATGTAAATATCAATCGGAGAATTATCATGTTGTAATTGTTGTGTCTTCCTTCACATAAATAGAGCATATGTTTCCTTTTTAATCGTGTCCTCATTGATGACCTTCAACAAAGTTTTATAATATTTCACATAACCGAACCGCAGTTTCTATCATGTTTGTCCTTAGAAATCTTAGCAGTTTTTGTTGCTAGGATGATTGGGATCCTTTATTTCTATTGCATTTTTAAAGGAATTATTTATGGTGCTTATAAAAGCAGTGAAAAGAATAATCTGAACTCTTTAGAAGAACGTGGCTGTATTTTTCAAACAACAGTGTGGGGAGAAGAAAAGCAAGATACAAAAAGAGAGACGTGACAACCATTTGTGTCGGTCAAAAGTGAGCACAAAACAATATTATATATTATTTAAGGGTACAGTTAACTATGTAAAAGTACAGGGGGAAACTGGAATGAACCATATCCGACTGGTTTCAGTAGTTGCTTCTGGGGCGTGGGGATCAGTTGGGTAGTTAAAGAGAACCTTGGCTTCATCTGTATTGCGTTAGAAAGACAGGAAGACAGGGGAAGAAAGAAAAAAGAACCAAAAGCAAATCTGACACTGTGTTAGCAATTGCTAATTCTGGGTGGCGGAACTATAAGTATTTAAATTGTCTTCAAAAATTTTGGCTTTTCGGGACGCCTGGGTGGCTCAGTTGGTTAAGCAGCTGCCTTAGGCTCAGGTCATGATCCCAGCGTCTTGGGATCGAGTCCCGCATCGGGCTCCTTGCTCGGCGGGGAGCCTGCTTCTCCCTCTGCCTCTGCCTGCCATTCTGTCTGCCTGTGCTTGCTCTCTCTCCCTCTCTCTCTCTGACAAATAAATAAAATCTTTAAAAAAAAAAATTTGGCTTTTCTTGTTCCACCCAGTCCCCTCTGTATTGGTGAGCTGGGGCAGTTTTCAATTTTTATGAGACTGACGCGCTGCCTACTACGTTATGGAGGCACCTCAATTTTCAATTTTTAAAACATGTTAATAGACCTCACTGTTTAGAGAAGCTTTATGTTTACCGGAAATTTGGATGGAAATTACAAACAGTTCCCATATATGTTCCTCCCCCTACCCTGGACTCCTTGGTCTGTTTCCACTGCCGTAACAATATACCATATGCCTGGTGGCTCAAATGGCAGAAATGTACTTTCTCACAGTTCTGGAGGCTAGAAGTCTAAGGTCAAGGTGATGACGTATTGGGTTCCTGATAAGTGCTCCTTCCTGGCTTGCAGACAGTCACTTTCTCAATTTGTCCCCCTATGACTCTCTCTCCGGGCATGTACTGAGAGAGAGAGAGAGGTCTTTGGTATCTCTTGCTCTTCTTAAAAGAACACCAGTCCAATCAGATCAGGACCTCACCCTTACAACATCATTTAACCTCAATTACCTCCTGAAGCCCTATCTCCAAATATCATCACAGTAAGAATTAGAGCTTCAATCTATGGGCACACAATTCAGTCTTTAACATCCTGACCTAACATCCCGACATCTGGCTTCCCAAAATTCATGTCTTCAAAGTATTACGTACATGTACTCCATTTCAACAGCTCCCAAAGTCTTAACCCGTTCCAGCACCAATTCCAGATCCAAAGTCTTACCTAGGTATCATCTAAACCGGGTATTAGTGAGATCTGAGATATGATTCATCCTGAGGCTGAATTCCTTTCCCGCTGTAAGCCTGTGAAACCAGACAAATTATGCATTCGAAAATACATTCCCATTCCGCAGGGAACAAACCAGAAAGAACGGAGGGGTGGTGGGTCCCAGGCAAGCCTCAAAGCTAACAAGGCAAATTCAATTAGGTTGTCAAGGATAATCTTTTTTGTCCAGGTGCTCTGCCCTCTGGACCCACTAGGTGACAGCATCACCTTAGAGCCCCAGGCGGGAGCCCCACCCGCAAGGCCCCGGAGGCCCCAAAGCGGCTGGGCCTCCTACGGGAAGGGGAGGGAACAGTCTTACCCATTGCACCTGTGCGGAGAGTGCCTTCTGTAATGTATTCTGTCATTCCTTCGTTTACTTGAAGGATAAAATGTACTCGCAGGCTCTATATAGCTCTATTGTCTCTATATAGGATCTATATAGCTCTATTGTCCCATCTTGTAGAATCCTAGAAGTTCAAACGCGTTGGTTTATTTTGTCCTGTCTCTGCAGCTTTGGGCCAAACCGGCAGCATCTCTATCCCTAGCTTCTGTTGAACCTGCTCCATGGGTGGGGCGCCTGGGTAGCTTAGTGGGTTAAAGCCTCTGCCTTCTGCCCGCTCAGGTCTGGCCACATCTTGGGCGTATTCTCCAGAAACGCTTCCTCATTTCTGTGGTTTGGACAGGCTTCCAAATCTTCGAGTTCTGATTCCTCTTTGTGTAACGACTCCTTCAACTTACCTCTCTCCTCTAGCATTTTACAGTTATTGGCACAGAGAAGCTTCTTAACACTTAGTTTAGGAATACCCCAGCCAAATATCCAATCTTCTGCAAAACGCTAGAAACAATTCAGCCAAGTTCTCTGCCACTTAGAGCAAGAATCTAATTCCTCCACTTCTAATAACATGTTCCTCATTTCTGCCGGAGACCTCGCCTTTAACATCCGTATTTCCGCCCCCATTCTGTCCACGATGATACCTGTATTCTCCCAGACCACGGAAGCTCTCTTTCCAGCCCTCTCTGCGTCCTGAGCCCTCAGCATAATCACTTTCACCGTCCACATCGCCACCAACAGTGTCTTCAAGGCAACCTCGGGTTTTTCTAGCGTGTGGAAAGGATTCTCCACGCATTCCCACTTCCAAAGCCACTTAGGTATTTGCTGTAACGGTATCCACTCATCAGTATCAGGCTGCCATAATGAAAAGCCAGACAAAAGAAGTTAATTTTGTCACTGTCCTGGAAGCTAGAGGTCCAAGATCAGGGTGCCAACAGGGCCGGTTTCTGGTGAGACCTCTCTTCCTGGCTTGCAGCCATCCATCTTCTTGCTGTGAACTCCTTGGTCTTTTCCCTGTGCATGCAGAGAGAGAAAAAGAGAGAGAGAGAGAGAGAGCAAGCTTGCAAGCTTGGGTGACTCTTCTTCTTAAAAGGACACCAGGCCCAAGGATTGGAACCCCACCCTTATGATATATTTAACTATACTTACCTCTTTACTGGCTCATCTCCAAATATGGTGACATAAGTGGTGTCTTGGTCAGTTTGGGCGGCTATAACAGAATAACAGAGACTGGGTGGTTTATAAACAACTGGAATTTAATTCTCACTATTCTAGAGTCTGGGAAGTCCAAAATCAGGGTGCCAGCAGGCTCTGGTGAGAACCCTGTTCCAGGTTGCAGAGAGCTGACTTCTCCTTATAACCTCACATAGCTGTGAGCAGAGAGAAGAAGCAAGCTCTCTTGTGATTCTTATAAGGGCACTCATTGTATTCATGAGGGCTCTACCCTCCTGTGACCTCATTTAACCCAATTACTTCCCAAAGAACCCACTGCTTAATACCATCACAAGGTGGGGTAAATTCATTTAAAATGAATTTTGGGAGAACACAAGCGTTCAGCCTATTACAGGGCTTTAGGGCTTCAGCATATGAATGGGGGGATGCAGTTAGAATTCAATCTATATTTTTAAATAAAAATATTTTTAAGGAATGAATCTCTCTTAGGTGTCCCTCTGACCTGGTCCTCCTGCTTTGATGGATTATACGCTGGAGCCCAATGTGACGACGGTAACCGACTACTACTATCCTGATATCATGTCAAGCCCCTGCGATGGGGAACTGATCCAAAGGGACAGCAAGTTGCTTCTTGCTGTCTTTTACTGTGTCTTGTTTGTATTCGGTCTTCTGGGAAACATCCTGGTCATCCTTGTCCTTGTAGCCTGCAAGAAGCTGAGGAGCATCACCGACGTATACCTCTTGAACCTGGTCCTGTCTGACTTGCTTTTTGTCTTCTCCTTCCCCTTCCAGACCCACTACCAACTGGACCAGTGGGTGTTTGGGACTGTAATGTGCAAGGTGGTCTCTGGTTTTTATTACATTGGCTTCTTCAGCAGCATGTTCTTTATCACCCTCATGAGTGTGGACAGGTACCTGGCAATCGTCCATGCGGTCTATGCCATGAAAGTGAGGACAGCCAGGATGGGCACAGCCCTGAGTCTGGCCGTGTGGTTGATTGCTATCATGGCCACCAGCCCATTACTAGTGGTGTACCAAGTGGCCTCTGAAGATGGCATTCTGCAGTGTTATTCATCTTACAATCAACAGACTCTGAAGTGGAAGATCTTCATCCACTTTGAAATGAATATCTTAGGTCTGTTGATCCCGTTCACCATCCTTATGTTCTGCTACATTAGCATTCTGCACCAGCTGAAGAGCTGCCAAAATCACAACAAGACCAAGGCCATCAAATTGGTGCTCATTGTGGTGATCGCATCTTTACTCTTCTGGGTCCCATTCAATGTGGTCCTCTTCCTCACTTCTCTGCTCAACATGAACATCTTGGATGGATGTGTCCTGAGCCAACGACTGATTTTTGCCACTCATGTCACAGAAACCATTTCCTTCACTCACTGCTGTGTGAACCCTGTGATCTATGCTTTCATGGGTGAGAAATTCAAGAAACACCTCTCAGAAATATTCCAGAAGATTTCCAATTATGGCCTCCTCTTTGTAGGAAGACAAATACCTAGGGAGAGCTGGGAAAGACCTCCCTCCTCCTGTCAGCACCCCTCCCGCTCCTCCAGCACAGACTACATTTTGTGACGGGGGGGGGGGCCGGCGTGTTTCTTTTAGAAGACAAAAATGATTTACACTGGAGTCTGAGGCTACTTGAAGGGATACTCTTAGAAATGTGGTTACAGACACAAGGCATATTTAATGATGGTTAATGAACTCCTGTTATTGCAAATTAATCTTCTCAGCTTTCAAAGATTTTGTTACTATTTTCTGGAAATAGTCTATATATCTCACTATTTAGTATAACGTTAGCTTTGGGATTTGTTTCTTAGTTTTGTAGTGCCTTTATTATATCTCAATTTAAATTTTATCAAATTCTTTTTCACATCTATTAAGGTGATCATATAGCTTTCTTTCCTCTATCATTCTGTTAATTTGGTAAACTTATCTTCTGATTTTCTTATTTTAAATCAACTTGTATTTTCCCTGGAAAAAAATGACCTCTTGTTCATGATCATTTTAATAAATAATTGGATGCTTGGAAAATTCATATCTGTGTTCATGAGAAATATTACCCTGTAATTTTCCTTTTAAAAACATGGTGAAACATGGCAGGGTATCCACTATCACCACTGCCGTTCAACGTAGTACTAGAAGTCCTAGCCTCAGCAATCAGATAACAAAGAGAAATAAAAGGCATCCGAGGGACGCCTGGGTGGCTCAGTTGGTTGGACGACTGCCTTCGGCTCAGCTCATGATCCTGGAGTCCCGGGATTAAGTCCTGCATCCGGCTCCCAGCTCCACGGGGAGTCTGCTTCTCCCTCTGACCTTCTCCTTGCTCATGCTCTCTCTCACTGCCTCTCTCTCAAATAAATAAAATCTTAAAAAAAAAATCCAAAATTGGCAAAGAAGTCAAGCTCTCATTCTCTGCAGATGACATGGATACTCTAAGTGGAAAATCCAACAGACTCCACCCCAAAATTACTAGAACTCATACAGGGATTCAGCAATTTGGCAGGATATAAAATCAATGCCCAGAAATTAGTTGCATTTCTATATACTAACAATGAGACAGAAGGAAGAGAAATTAAAGAGTTGATCTCATTTACAGCTGCACCAAAAACCATAAGAGACCTAGGAATAAACCTAGCCAAAGACATAAAGGATTTGTACTGTGAAAACTATAGAACACTTACAAAAGAAATCGAGGAAGACACAAAGAGATGGAGAAACATTCCATGCTCATGGATTGGAAGAACAAATATTGTTAAAATGTCTATGCTACCTAGGGCAATCTATACATCCAATGCAATCCCTATCAAAATACCATCAACTAAATAAATAATCCTAAAATCCATATGGAACCAGAAAAGACTCTGAATAGCCAAAGGAATGTAGAAAAAAGAAAGATGAAACTGGTGGCATCACAATTCTGGACTTTAAGCTCCATTACAAAGCTGTCATCATCAAGACAGTATGGTACTGGCACAAAAACAGACACATAGATCAATGGAACAGAATAGAGAGCCCAGAAATGGACTTCCAACTCTATGGTCAACTAATCTGTGGCAAAACAGGAAAGAATATCTAATGGAAAAAAGACTGTCTCTTCAACAAATGGTGTTGGGAAAATTGGATAGCCACATGCAGAAGAATGAAACTGGACCATTTCCTTACACCAAACACAAAAATAGACTCAAAATGGATGAAATACCTCAATGTGAGGCAGGAATCCATCCTAGAAGAGAACACAGGCAGCAACCTCTGTGACTCGGCGGCAGCAACTTCTTGCTAGACCCATCTCCAAAGGCAAGGGAAACAAAGGCAAAAATGAATTATTGGGACTTCATCAAGATAAAAAGCTTTTGCATAGCAAAGGAAACAGTCGGGGTAAAGAAAAGACAACCAACAGAATGGGAGAAGATATCCCAAATGTTTTATCAGATAAAGGGCTAGTATCCAAAATCTGTAAGAAACTTATCAAACTCAACACCCAAAGAAGAACTAACCTAGTCAAGAAATGGGCGGAAGACATGAACAGACAGTTCTCCAAAGAAGACAACCAAATAGCCAATAGACACATGCAAAAATGTTCCATATCACTTGGCATCAGGGAAATACAAATCCAAACCACAATGAGATACCACCTCACATCAGTCAGAGTGACTAAAATGAACAAGTCAGGAAATGACAGATGTTGGTGAGGTTGCAGAGAAAGGGGAACCCTCTTACACTGTTGATGGGAATGCAAGCTGGTGCAGCCACTCCGGAAAACAGTGTGGAGGTTCCTCAAAAAGTTGAAAATAGAGCTACTTTACAACCCATCAATCGTACTACTAGGTATTTACCCTAAAGATACAAATGTAGTGATCCAAAGGGACACATGCACCTGAATGTTTATAGAAGCAATGTCCACAATAGCTAAACTATGGAAAGAGCCCAGATATCCATCTATAGATGAATGGATATAAAGAAGATGTGATATATATATATATATATATATATATATATATATATATTCAGCAGTTAAAAAAAAAACAAAAATACAAAAATGAAATCTGGCCATTTGCAATGACCTGGATGGAACTAGAAAATATTATGCTAAGTGAGATAAGTCAATCAGAGAAAGACAATTATCATATGATCTCACTCATACATGGAATTTAAGAAACAAAAGATCATAGGGGAAGAGAAGAAAAAATAAAATAAGATGAATTCAGAGGGAGAAAAACCGTAAGAGACTCTTAATCATAGGAAACAAACTGAGGGTTGCTGGAGGGGAGGAAGGTTAGGGGATGGGGTCACTGGGTGATGGACATTAAAGAGGGCACATTATGTAATGAGTGCTGGGTGTTATATAAGACTGATGAATCACTGACTTCTACCTCTGAAACTAATAATACATTAAATGTTAATTAATTGGGGATGCCTGGATGGTTCAGTCAGTTAAGGGTCTGCCTTCAGCTCACGTCATGATTCCAGAGTCCTAGGATTGAGTCCCACGTCAGCCTTCTTGCTCAGGAGGAAGCCTGCTTCTCCCTCTGCTTGCAGCTGCCCTTACTTGTGTTCTCTCTCTCTGACAAATAAATAAGTGAAATCTTTTTTAAAATGTTAATTAATTGAATTTAAGTAAAAAAGGAAAAAAATTTTTTAAAAAGTAAAATGTCCTGGTCAGATCTGCAACGACATGGATGGACCTAGATGTACTATGCTAAGTGAAGTAAGTCATAGATAGAAAAACAGATACCATGTGATTTCACTTGTACGTGGAATTTGTTTAAATAAAGAATAAATGAATAAATAAAGATTTTATTCATTTATTTGAGAGAGAGAGCATGAGAGGGAAGAAGGTCAGAGGAGAAGCAGACTTCCATGGAGCTGGGAGCCTGATGTGGGACTCGATCCTGGGACTCTGGGATCATCACCTGAGCCAAAGGCAGTTAACTGAGCCACCCAGGTGCCCCTTGTAAATGGAATTTAAGAAAGAGAACAAATGACAAAAAAAAAAAAAAAAAAAAAGAGAGAGAGAGAGAGAGAAAACCAGATTTTTTTTTTTAAGATTTTATTTATTTATTTGACAGACAGAGATCACAAGTAGGCAGAGAGGCAGGCAGAGAGAGAGGAGGAAGCAGGCTCCCTGAGGAGCAGAGAGCCTGACGCGGGGCTCGATCCCAGGACCCTGAGATCATGACCTGAGCCAAAGGCAGCGGCTTAACCCACTGAGCCACCCAGGCACCCCCAAAAAACAGATTCTTAAATACAGAAAATGAACTAGTGGTTGACAGAGGGGAGGTGGAGGGGGGAATGTATGAAATAGAGAATTAAGAGGTACAAACTTCCAGTGTTAAAATAATAAAATACACCAGTCCTGGAGAGGAAAAGCACAGCATAGGAAATACAGTCAGTATTGTCTGGTGACTTACTGTGTATGGGCACTGAGATGAGAAATGTACGGAATTGTTGAATCACTATATTATATACCTGAAACTATTATATGTTAATTATACTTTAATTTTTAAAAATGTCCTGGTCAGATGTGATCTCCAAGAACGTGTTTGAAAGTATTCCTTTTGCCACTATTCTGAAAGACTTTGTGCAAAATATTGGGTGTTACTTCTCCCTTAAAGGTTTAGTAAAATCCATTAGTGAAGTCATCTGGGATTTCTCTGTAGCAAGATTTCCAATTATGCATTCAGTTCCTTTGGCAGATAAAGATTATTCAGATTTTCTGTCTTTGCTTGTCTCAGTTTTGGAAAGTTGTGATTTTTATTTATTTATTTATTTAAAAAAATTTTTTTTAAGTTTTTTTTTTTTTAGGCAGAGAGAGAGGAGAATCAAACTCCTGCTGAGCAGAGAGCCTGATGTGGGGCTGGATCCCAGGACTCTGGGATCATGACCTGAGCCGAAGGCAGAGGCTTTAACCCACACTGAGCCACCCAGGCACCCTGGAAAGCTGTGATTTTAAAGGAATTTTCCCAGTTTAAGTTGTCAAATTAGCAAAAGGTTCCTTCTAATATCTTCTTATATTATTTTTATGAGAATATGAAGTAATGTCCTTTTTCATTCTTTTTTTTTATTTCTGTCATTCATTTTTTTTTTATTTCTTTTCAGCGTAACAGAATTCATTGTTTTTGCACCACACCCAGTGCTCCATGCAATACGTGCCCTCCATAATACCCACCATCTGGCTCCCCCAACCTCCCACCCCCTCGCCCCTTCAAAACCCTCAGGTTGTTTTTCAGAGTCCATAGTCTCTCGTGGTTCATCTCCCCTTCCCATTTCCCTCAACTCCCTTCTCCTCTCCATCTCCCCATGTCCTCCATGCTATTTGTTATGCTCCACAAATAAGTGAAACCATATGAAATTGACTCTCTCTGCTTGACTTATTTCACTCAGCATAATTTCATTCTTAATTCACACCAAGTCATTGGTGCTTTATATTTTCTCTCTTTTGTTCCTGATCGGTCTTATTAATCTTTTCAAAAAAAAACCAGCTTTCGGATTTGTTGATTTTCTTTCTGCCTTTACACTGATTTCCGCTCTTATCTTTATCTTTTTTTAAAAAGATATATTTATTAGAGAGAGAG